TATGACATTAATTAATAATAACCCTAAACCCATCAATAATACGCAAATAGCACAGAAATAACGCATGAGTAACACGTCAGTAATACAGTTAATGCGCAGTAGAATAACACAGTAGAATAACACATTAATAATACACGAATAATACAAGAATAATACTAAACCTATGTCATTAATTAACAATCACCCTAAACAGAAGCATATGACATCAATATTACATGAATAACACGGTAATAACGCATCAGTAACACAACAGTAACACAATTAAACCACAGGAAAAAAATAGATGAATAAAACACAAATAATACAATAATAACACATCTAAACTATGCCATGGAGATATCTGTGAGTCCAACGAATTTGGTTTTATGCAGTTATAGAGTAGGGTTTTTTCTGTGCTAATGATTCAAATTCATGATGTGTTATTCATGCGGTATTGCCGTGTTATTGTTGTATTTTTGATGTAGTACTGGTATATTACTGATGTGTGATGCTATTGATGTGGTATTGTTGTGCTACTGTTGTGTTACTGATGTGTTACTTGTATTTCCCGACTCTGGTTTAGGTGCATACCGTGATTTTAACGAACAAGTGGACGCAATGACCTTCGCTTCCGCCGGAGGATGCGCTTTGCCGGAGGGTTTCGCCGGAGGATGCGTTGCGCCGAAGGTTTTCGCCGAGGAAGAGTAAGCCCTAAACTCTCGTAATAGTGTGTAGAAAATTAAAATGTGGTTCGGGGAAAGTAAAAAGCAAGGCGGGTTCGGGTTAATTATCGGGCCTGGTCGGAAAACAATTAAAATTAATATTTATTTTAATTTTATTGCTTTTAAAAGGTGGGACCGTAGTTTACAGCTGGCGCCATCTTATTGGATACGCACCTACCCTTAAGGTGCGTAATACTGATGGAATAATTCTTCCTTGAACTGAGACAATAATTAGTAGGTGGAAACATAGCATGAGATGGCAATGCGAATATTTTGTAAAGGGTAATGATGGGTATATTAAGTGCAATTACTAAAAATATCATTATAAGCAAGAGGAAATTCAATGAATGGTATACATTAAAAACTATTTAACATTATTGGCAACTTAGAAAGCAATTTTCAAATACGGAAAGATTGTGTCACATAGGCATCACACCTACATGTCGTGATAAGCTCTATTTCTTCAATTTATTTTATTGTTTAAATCGCGGTGGTAGGTGGCACTGAACACCTATTCATTAACCCATTACTGCCTTAACCGTGCGTAAATATATGTATGCTTGTTTGTATGTAAGCCTGCATGCATTTATATATGTTTTCTTTTCAATCTTTTTTTAACTCTGCCTGAACTCCAAAACAGGATCTATCATCATCAGTTTATGAATTCTAGTTCCAGCTGTAGTAGTACAAAGTTTGCAATCTGAATCAATTTCTTTTCAAAAACTAAACTTTCTTATGCTATCTTTTCTTTGTCTGCTGCAAACATCATTTGCTTATGTATGAGGAGCATGCTTTGCAGGTATCAGGGTCTCTGTTTGTTGGATGCTATAGACTCTTTGCACCCTCCAGAAAGGGACGTCTTGAAGCCAATTCTTCTGCCTGTGTGTGATGTTGTTTCTTCTCATTCATTAGGCCAAGTAGCTGCATTCGGTAAACTGGCAGCTGGAGCTATTCGACAAGGTTCCAAGGTACCATGTATGTATCATTTGTTGGAAATTGGAATACAGTTTAGATTTGATTATCTTTCTTGTTGAGCAATGTAGTTATCTATAGCAGTTTTTGGAATGATCAGAAGCCATCAACAAGTTAAAGTTTTATAACTTCATTAAACTATAAGATCATTATTAAGTAAAATCATCTATGTTGAATCCCTTCTTATACCAAGCAACTAATCATCAAATGCATTGCTAACTATAAAATTTTGATTGGTAAGATTGAGATGTATACACCTATATGGTTCAATAACCCCATCAATCTGGAATTCACTGTACTAATCTTATCATTAATGAAGCTAAATGAAAATTGTAGCCCAAATCAACATTTGTCGATAAGAAGTGTCTTGATATTTGTGTTTCTTAATCTGGGAAAATGGTAGGCTTGGATGAAATGTTGGGCTTCTTTGTATAATTTGTTTTTGCAATTCTTCTCTGGTCTTTAAAAATTATACGACTCAAATTTTTGTATAGCTCAAATGGAGGCAATAGGCCCTGCCATTTTGTTTGAAATCAAAGTTCTATTTGTTATTTTAACATTTTTAAGAATTTCTAATCCAAGAAATCATTTTACATTTCGGTAATACTTAATTGCATCCGACCAAACTGCTCTCAAAAAAAATTGGTCCATCTTGAAATTTTTAATTACTATTTCTTCATTGTACGCTTCAACCGAGGTGTTCTTAACCATATGTAATATGGTCCTCGCTTTTGTAAATAAGCACATGAAATTTTTATTTTAATATAAACGCCCTCAAAAACTGTAGACAAATTAGCTTTCTTTTGTCGGTGGAGAGCACTTCTTACCTCTTATTTCCCCACAATCTTCTGCTTTGATTGTTTGAATCAACTACAGGTTTTAGTAATGCCACCCGGGGATTTGGCTACCGTTCGATCCATAGAGCGAGATTCTCAAGCTTGTGTTTCAGCTAGAGCGGGTGATCACGTGGCTGTAAGTTTGCAGGGTATTGATATTGCTAATATCTTGCCTGGCGCGGTGCTGTGCCACCCAGATTTCCCTATCACTGTTGCATCCATTTTGGAGCTTAGGATCCTCGTACTTGATGTCAAAATGCCAATATTAATTGGATCTCATGTAAGCACCATTCCTCATTTTTCTTCAATTTTTACCCTATTTGTCCTAATCATTTAGGATAAAATTTGGTTCAAGGTAACCCAATCAAAATTTAAAAATTTTGATTTGCCAAGATTTAAGTGCAATGTATTGATGAACAGTCGACTTTTGTATTTTAATCTTATCTCAAAGTAAATTCTAAGATTTAAAAGTCTATCTTAATCAAATCTTGACGAGGTTATTCCTCTCCCATTTTATTTTCTCTTTTTCATTTATTCCTGTCTGAACTTAGGAAGGTTAATAATATATAGGTTGAATTTCACGTACACCATGCTAAGGAGGCTGCTCAAGTGACAAAAATAGCGTCCCTTATGGATCAAAAGAAAGGGAAGACCTCTCAAAGAGCACCTCGTCTTCTAACTGCCAGACAAAGTGCTACTATAGAGGTAAGTTGGTTTGTGAGATGATCCTCATCCTAATATTTTTGTCTAAAAGGTTATCTTGTGCTAGACTAAAATCTTATGTTTGTATTAACCCAGAAATTCCTCATCAAATACATTGTTACTAATACATCAGTCTATTTACTGATTTATGGCATAAAATAAAATCAACATTTCACTGGAGGTCTCTTAATACTAAACTAGGATGTTCTTTGGAATAATTATTGGAATTTGTTACTATATATCTTGTTGGTGGGATTAATGTTTCAATAATTCGACCTTTTTCTCACTGTAAGTAGATTCAACACAGCCATAATCTGGTTTAGTTTCTATGACATAGCAGCGACAGCAGTGGCGGCATTGTCTACTATTTAAGGCAATATGTCGATACTATCAATATCGCTTTATTTTTTGTAGAGGATCATTTTGGTTCCAGAGTCTTGAAGTGTTAATTTAGTCCTCGAAGTTTTTTAATATTGGCTAAAATAATACTTAAATAGTCCACATGTGGGGACTATTTTACAATAATTTAGAAATTCTAGAGATTTATTTGATACTTTTATAAACTCGGGAACTAAAATTTCCTCATGTAACAGTCTGAAGACTATTTTGGCGCTTTACTCCTATCCAAATTCTTAAATTTACAAAATTATGTGTGCATTGCATTTCATAATATGTTGTGGTCTTTCAATGTGTTTATTCCATTTCCTAACCATTTTTAACTTTGTTTGGTGACTTGATTTGCTCTGGTTGTTCTTAATAGGTCTCTTTAGATAGGCCGGTCTGTGTGGAAGAATTTTCTAGCTGTCGGATGCTCGGAAGGGCATGCCTGCGGGCTTCTGGAATCACCATAGCTGTTGGCATCGTGACTCGAATAATCGCCGAGGACGAACAATAGTTTTCTATAATGAATTTTTGCTGCCGTTCATCTGCTTATTATCTTAAAAGACTACCAAGAACTTAAAATTTTATATTTGTTAGTCAAGAGAAGTAATCATCTTCTTTTGTTGTTTTTTCTACAATCTGTGGCACCTCATTTATGTCACAGAAATCTATCAACTAACACAAATCATGATGATGATGTCATGTTAAATGTAACATATTTGTATAGACTTGGCAGAGTTTTCAGATATACATAAAAAATATAGAGAATAAATCCATATAATAGATTTCAACTTTACTACTAAAATTGTTGAGAAAAAATATTTCAAGTTCTCGGAATTCTTTCACCTCTAAATGTTATAAACTGGTTTTATTAATATCATATTCATTAAAATCATTTGTAATATGTTCTTTGTTAAACACTAGCCATGCATTTTATATGAAAATGGAAATGCAAAATGGGTGTTCAAGTGTTATCTCTTTTTTACATTGTTTCCCGTTGGAATTATAATTAGTGGGGGGTATATTGATCATTTGGATTTTTTGAAGGGTCAACGTGCATTAAGTTGGCTGGGGCTAAGTTGTCCTTCAAGTCTTGTCACCATGAACGACTATTTTACCCCCTCATAATTATGATTACTCTACACTATTAATATTAAGTTTATTGTACACATATTTTATGAAAATTTTGTACAAATTTTTAGTACTAATTTATTAGTATTGTTATTTTTTAGGGGAAGATGAGGAAATATTTTCATACGGAATGTGCACGAAGAACTGTGTGCGTAATAACTTTCGCTTCGCGGTTATTGGGGGGTTACTGAGATGCTATTGTGGTATTAATTTCAATAACATATAACCCAAATAACCTTTCAATAACTTTTGCAGGTCTTATTTGGATGTTATTCATAGGTTATTACAGTGATATTGCGGGGTTAATGAAATACGCACTCAAATTCCGTATGAAAATATTTCTCAGGAAAACGGGCATTAGAATCTAACATATTGAGATTTTTTATTTTATTCATAGCCTAAATTAATGACAGAAGTCAACATAATAGTCTTTTTTTATAATAAACTTAAACAAAACATATAACTTAATGAATAATGCGTTTCTTTTTTCTAAGTTAAGTCTAAATGATATGAAGTGTGATTTAAATTTATAAATTTATAAAAAATTAAATTCTCAAACATAATGTATATGACGGTGTAACTATTTGTGACTAAAGTGGTGCCCACAAACCAAATATGACGTTCAGGCCAAATTATGACTCTTCAGTCTTCACAGATTGATTAACGGGGGTTTTATGATGCCACATTATTGTCCTCATTCCTGAAAGAGAAAGTGAGCGTGTAAATAATAATAATAACAACAATTACTGTAGTGAGGAAAAAGATTTGAAAAAACTGGAAAAATAAAAGAAATAAGAGAATCTGAGATGTTCGTCTTCATTTCAGACAGCGAAGACCATTTTGATCGGCATCCAGAACCTCGGAACCCAAAAGAGCGGAGTAACGGCGGGCAGCTTTTTCATGAATTTCACTGCTACTAAACTGGAGAGTGGTGAAATCGGCTTGGAATGAATGGAAACCCTAGGACACAGTAAGGCTCCCAACCAGATCAGATCGGCTACAAGAAACACTGGCGAACCAGCGGCCTACTCCGGCAGCTGAAATTTACCGACGAGAACTGGTTGTCTTGGAGTCTTTCTATCAGCACAGTCGCAAAGTGGGAAATGGAAACCTCCGACGGCGGCGGTATCGGCCTCGACTGCAGCGTGGGCAATATCGTTTGGGTTCGTCGGAGGAACGGTTCGTGGTGGCCTGGGCGTATTCTCGGGCATGAAGAGCTGTCGGAATCGCATCTGATGTCACCGAGATCCGGAACGCCGGTTAAGTTGCTTGGTAGAGAAGATGCCAGCGTGTGAGCTTGCTCTCACCTCTGCACTTTTACATATTGGGCTCTTTCACTTCGATCCATGAACATATATAGGTGTTTTTTTCTATGAGCAAGTTGCTGTTAAAAGTTTTTGTACCTCTGTTTAGGAACAGAAGTTTTCATTGTTGTGTTTTAATTGTTTGGTGTTTTGCTTAACTCGGTCAGTATGTTTTCTCTATGAGTTCGTTCAAATGAGTATTTCTGGAATCGGGACAGTTCATGAGGGGAATCGGCGGTTCTAATGCAGTAGGATTTGCCTAACATGTATATACTTCTATATTAGAATCGAGAGAGTTCAATCTTGCATGCATCACAGGTTTAGTTGCACAATACTTTTTCTCTCATAAAAATGTACAGAAATTTCTTGGTTGCTTTTGAAATCATATATCTATTATCTAACCAGAAAGCTCTTGTTATTTTTTGTGATTTATGATATGTTTATGCAGTTTTCCATTTTGTTTGCTGATGATCATGGCATATCTTCACGCTGCAAACTCTGTAGCAGGACAGGGTTATGAATTACGTGTTATTTGTCATGCTCAGGAGCAGAATTAAGTTCTCTAAAGCCCATGGTGAATTTGCTTTTGAGCAGTTAAAAGCTTTTGTTTATTATGAAAAATGTAACATCAAACTAATGCATTTAAACTGAAATTGTCTTTCTGTTAGAAGTTCTGTTTCCAACTTCTACAGATTAGTAAACTGACTTGCATTTTCGATCGCTCTTTTACTTGTTGTTTTCTTAATAATTATAGATCTTATACCTTTAGAGTTGCAAATGATTTGAGATTGAGCTGATCCAACCTCGGCTATTAGGAAAAACTATTATCAATTTTTATCCATTATTGTTCTTCCAAGGCAAATACTTATTGTCGAATAATTTCATGCATCTATATATCTATATACTTGCATTGTTGATAAAATGCATATAAATGCATAGATACATGCATAAATATATTCATAACATTTTGATCCAATTTTGAGCTAACGTGGTTCAATTTAAGCCTAGCTTATTTCTTGTTCGATTCAAGTTGGGATTGGGTTGTTTCTTTTGATTTTGGCTCTGTTCAAAATAAAAGCAGTCAAATTTCTCTTTGATCTCTAGGCTAAATTCATAACGCAAATTTTTATAGGACCAGTTTATTTGTAATGGACCACTTGCATATTTTCTGCCAACTAGGTTATTTAGATGCAATTATATGCTATTAACAACAAATTTAAAGCCCAACATGCAGACATAATATGTTGTAAATTAAGTTTGATTACTTTGATGATGGCATGATCATAGATCAACTATGATTGAAAAGTGGGCGCTATTTCTGTGTTTTACTTGAAATATTTTCTACAACCAAAGCCCATGTACTTATTCTAAAAATAAATAAATAATTTTCATATAGTTTTATTTGATTTGAGTACATATACATCCTTCTTTAAAATTTTATGATTAACATATTCCTTCAATGTTTTTAGGTATATTTTTTCAACCATAATGGCATCCATTTTTTAATCTTGTGAACTTATCTTTATTATTGTTGACATCAGATGATTACAAGTCTAGAATTCCTAATACAACTAGAGCGATGCAATATATAATGAGCTTGCAAAAGAATCGGATTCATAGATCAAAGATAACTAATTATACAAACTTACTCTCGTTAAGCGCAAACAAGAATTTAAATGATAATACAAAAATTGGATAAACTTAAAATATATATAAAAAAATTGAACTGCATCAAATAATTGAGCAGTTTTAAATTTTCACAATAATTAAATTTACAGTTGTATCAAAATTGAACAAAATCAAGAATTACTACAAGCTAATAAAGAATTATTTAGAAGAAATAAGATAAATAATTGAGTTTACTAAAGTAAAAAGAATTTAGGCCTTGCGTTAGAAGCCTGCTATGTATAATAGAATTCTTGAACGGAAGGCCAGGATGAAGTCTGCTGTTATATATGCATGGTGGAGGGAGATGTAGTGCAGCAAGTAGGTGCAGCACACCAGAGAATAACAGCCTTGGATTTACCATTTGTTGTGTACAATACTAATAGGATCCTTGTGAAGAGTATGAAACATGGAATGAAATTGGATTTTTAGTTCTTTCTTTTCTATTTTTTTGCTATGGACTTTATTGGATATATTTATTGTGGCTTGATGCATTTTAGCCTTCATTGATTTCATTCTCATTTTTATGTAACAGTCATGTAATTCTTGCAGTTCCTAATATCGTCCATACCGAAAACTTTGCTGATGCTTCACATTCTTGTCTGAAAGAGTCAAAATAATAGGCATCATTTCACTTATAATCTCGTAAATTGATGTTTTGAAATGCACTTCAGGCCAATTTTCAACCTTTATTTTCGGCACATGGATCAGGTTTGAAGTCATAAATAGCGTCATGCACTTTTTGGGATTACATTTATTTACTGATGTACAAAACATGTAACGAGCTTGTTAAACTGTATTGCCGTTTTTTTTTTCTGTGCTAATAGGCAAATTGAGAGAGCATGCTTACTAGGGATATATATATATATATATTTTCAATATGATACTAACTTGGTGTTTATTTCAGGGATTGGTACAACCTGGAAAAATCCAAACGGGTCAAGGCATTTCGGTGTGGAGAGTTTGATGCTTGTATTGAGAGGGCTGAAGCTTCCCAAAGCATTCCCATTAAAAAGAGGGAGAAATATGCTCGTAGAGAAGATGCTATTCTTCATGCCCTTGAGCTCGAGAAAAAGCAGAAATTAGGAGCTACTTCAAATGCTATCAGCAGTAAATCCATTGGAGCTTATAAAAGAGAGCATATCACTTTGTCTTCTCCAGAAACTTCTATAAGGCATGAAGAACCTGTTTCACGCGGGAAACTATCCTTCAAGTGTGAAAACTTACATAAAAAGGTAGTTTTTTCACACGAGGGAGATGATACCAATGATCCCTCATGTTTGCATGGGGGAAGAGGTAACCAGCAATTCAGCTTAGAACATGATAATGCTGAAGCCATTCCTCGGATGAGAGGTTTACAGGATTTTGGACTTAAAACAACACAATCTAAGAGAAAACCATCCATATCCAGCAGTTGGGAGAATTCTTGCAAATCTGTTGAACATCATATTGATTCTCTTTCCAGTTCTGGTTATATCATGGAGGGAGCAGATCAAGCCAGTACAAGCAGAAATGATATGTTAGTTAAAAGGAAGAGATCATATGGTGGTGTAATTGATGAATTTCTTGTTAAAAAACGTGATCGGCGTCGGCCTCTTCTTCAAGTTTTGGAAAGCAGTGCAAAACTACCTCCACTCTCTTTTCAGCCTAATTGCAACGCTTCGAAGACAGAAGAAACTGATAAAATGGCTTCTACTTGGCGGGCAAAACGAAGCAGATGTGTTTATTTACCTGCTGATTTGGATGAGCATCTCGAGCATGGTGGGTATACTTCTGAACATATGCTAGCATCAACAAATCATTTTGAATTGTGCAGTGATATCAATTATTCAGGAAACGTTGATGGAGGATGTACCCCTTCTTGTTTAATTGAAGTGACTGATAGTGATTGTTGTGATGGTGACCTTTTGGAGCCAGAAATGGTACAGGAAACGGATATGTTAATAGGTACCAGCTATTGTTTCTTTTTTTATTTTTTGTTTAGTGCATGTATTGTATTCTGTTTTCTGTTTTGCTTTAGCTGTTACGGATCTTGTCAGTTCCTTGGTTTGCAAATTAAAAGCGATTTTTTGTTTGATTATATTATTTTGTTCTGAAAAAATGAACTGATGCTTATGGCTACAATGAGCTTGGTGTCATTGCTTATTGGTGGTGCTATTTAATAGCCAACCAAACTTATTTTACTTTAGCAATCAGGTCTCACTTTTTAAAATTCGATAACCTTCTTTTAAGGTTTTTTAAAATTCGATAACCTTCTTTCAAGGTTTCTGTGGATTGGCACAATACCTGTTAAATAGCATTCACTTGTAATTTTTGGCATGGCTGCAGTTTGTTAAAAATGTGTTCACATGGCAATTTTTCAGAATTTTATTATGAATTTTCTCTTATGTTTTAATGAAGTTTAGATGTTCTCTTATATACATTATACACGCACTTATTTTGAGGTGACAGAAATGGCTTGATATTTTCTCTTTTATTTTCTATGCTTAAACATCCACCTTAGGAAACTTTGCTTAAAATTACTCTGGTCATATTCAGTGATTGCTAATAAATTTGAATGGTTGTTAATGCTTAAATTGATTATAATGGGGGTTTGCATATCACATAAAAATGAGGAACAAGTCAAATTGGTTTGTTGATGATTTGTGTGGGACTATATTTACATAGACTACAAATACATTCAATTTAGGCTATTTTTGTCACCAAACATCTGGGAGTTTAAAATTTCTAAGGAGGGAATAGATGGTCGGATGGTAGAAATGCACGCTTCGAACATATATAGCAATCCACAATTATATCCAAGTGGTAAAGATCTACTAAGCTACAAATATAAAATGTTAAATTTATAACAACGCTTGCAAATAAAAGAAATTAAAAATAGAAATAATACTATCCTATACCTATTTTCATATTCTTCTATAAAAATATGCTCCCATGACTGTCATTTAATTCAAAGGAGTTTTTTTTTTTGAAATAAGTAGTTAACAAGTATATTAAGTTAAATAACAACTTAGAGAAACATTATAGTTCTACTTTGTAGTAAATTTGTATATATGTGCTCTAGCATGCATGCTATAAAAATGCGAAAATATGAAAATTTCATTTGATTGAATTTTTTGACTATTTGTAGTTTCTTTAATTAAAGACTTTTTTCATTTTTAATTACATTTCATTTAAATAGGTTTCTCAGGCGCACAATAATATCCAAGTGGTAAGGAAGAACTAAGCCACGCGTGTTCTCATACATCACTCAAACATATAAAAATGTCCAATTTGTAACAACACTAGTTAATACAAGAAATTAAACATAGAAATGATACTATCTTATACCTATTTTCATCTCCTTTTATAAAAGTATGCTCTGGTGACTGTCATTTAATTCAAAGGAGATTTTCTGAAATAAGTAGTTAATGAATATATTAAGTTAAATAACAAAGTGAATTATTTATGTTATACTTTATACTGAGTTTCTATATTTATGCTCTAACATGCATGCTATAAAAATGAGAAAATTTTAAAATTTCATTTGATTGAATTTTTTGACAATTTGTAGTTTCTTTAATTAGAGATTTTTAACTTTTTCTAATTACATTTTATTTAAATAGGTATCTCAGGAGCACTATTTAACTATGTATCAATTAAAGTATATTCATTTTCTTTTTCTTTTTCAAATTTTTTTTTTAATTTTAATATTCATGCACATGTTTAAAAGTGTCCCCATCTAATATCATAAAAGGATGACTCCTGTGATTAACTTAAACTTTGGTCTCGATTGATTTTGCTTGATTTCTTATAACTTTTTAAAGTGTTTGTTATACTTTTAATGTGAATGCAGCATATGTAACATTCGTAAAATATTAAATGAACATTTAATTTGTCTATACTATCTGCTTTAATTTCTTGAAACATGAATGCAATCTAAAATTAAAAGAACTTAGTACAAGTAGAAAGTAATTGTTAATCTTAATTTTCAAAGATTTGCATTATCCTAACTTGTAACCTTAGTTTAACACATATAACTATAAAACATGTCTTTGAATTTCTTGCTTAATATTGTATTAATTTTTAAGAACATTTGTGTCAATCTCTCCTAAAATATTCTTACAATCTTCATTTTAACTTTCACTTGGATCTAACCTTCCAAGTTCCAAATACTTTATTATATCTAAAGACATGTTAATATCGATAACCATAATTTAAGATTTTAGCATTTTCAACTAAATTTCTAAAATTCTAAAATTTTAGTGCTTTATTATTATTATTTTAAAGTATTCACTATTCTAATCTTCCTACTTTATTCATCCAATTACAACAACAAAAAGCCTTTATCCACACTTTTTGTACATTGCATTCTATTGAGTGTCATATTTTCATTTAATACTAATATATTAAGATCATTTTTTATACAATATGTCCAAGTCTTTTTAGGTCTACATCTGCCTTACTTAACATGTGTTGAATCTAAAATATCTACTCTCTTAATCGAATCATCAAATGACCGATGTTTAATGTGACTAAACCATCTAAGACAACTCTCTCTAATCTTGTCCGCAACTGGAGTTGCATCAACCCTATCACGAATATATTCATTTTGCATTTTGTCTCTAAGTGTCAAGCCAGTCATCCACCTAAGCATTCTCATCTCAACAACACTTAACTTTGTTTTATGCTTCTCTTTTAAAGGCCAATATTCTACGCGATAGAGCATTGCAGGTCTCGCCACCATCTTATAAAATTTTCATTTCAGTCCAAGCATTACTTTTGTATCACACAATTGACCCGATGCATTCCTCCACTTCAACCAACTACCTTGAATTCTACTAATAACATTCACATCCCCATCTATATCACCATCACTTTGAACTAGACCCGATATGTCAAAATGTTCACTCTTTTTAATGATTTGATCGCTCATGATGTCCAAAATGATCACTCTTTTTAATGATTTGATCGCTCATAATTACAACTTTGCCACTAGAGCTATTACCGCTAAAATTACATACAATGTATTCAGTTTTAGTTCTACTCAAACGCAGGCCTTTAGACTCCAATGTAAACCTCCATAATTCAAGTTTTTCCTAAACTCTTTCTCTAGTCTTAACTACAAGAAGGATATCATCAGCGAAAAGCATACACCAAGGTACATCCTCCTGTAAATGTCCAGCAAGAGCATAGTATTTAGAAATTAATTTTTTGTTGAAATAAAAACCAAAATAAAAACCGTAGTATTTAGAAAATACCTCAAGTAAACTTCCTTCTTGATTAATCCTTCATTTTTCTTTCAAATTTACTCCTTTTTTGAAAACCTAATTGTTTCTTTAGTTTCAAATTCATTCTAAATGTTGATATTTATAAAAAATTAAATATCGCAAATAGTGTTTTACCTCAATTTCTTCCTTTCTCCTTTGCAAAATCAACGATTCTTTTTGACCTTTTGTTTTTTATATTAATGTAATAAAGATTGATATTGCAGTTAATTCTTCAAGTATGATCTAAACAAGTTATTGTATTAGATTTGAGGAGTCTGCGAACTATACATTAGATAGTTTGAGATTAAACCATAGTATTTAGAAAAACCTCAAGTAAACTTCCTTCTTGATTAATTCTTTATTTTTCTTTCAAATTTACTCCTTTTTAAATCGAAAACCTAAATCTTTTTTTTTAGATTTAAATTCATTCTAAATGTAGATATTTATAAAAAATTAAATATCGCAAATAGAGACAATTTGTTCCTTTCTCATTTGCAAAATCAACGATTCTTTTTTATTTTTTATTTTTTTATATTAATGTAATAAAGATTGATATTTCACTTGATTCTTCAAGTATGATCTAAATTAGTTATTGTATTAGATTTGAGGAGTCTGCGAACTCTACATTAGATAGTTTGAGATTAAACCATAGTATTTAAAAAGTACCTCAAGTAAACTTCCTTCTTGATTAATCCTTCATTTTTCTTTCAAATTTACTCCTTTTAAATCGAAAACCTAATTGTTTCTTTAAATTTAAATTCATTCTAAATGTAGATATTTATAAAAAATTTAGATATCGCAAATAGAGTTTTACCTCAATTTCTTCCTTTCTCCTTTGCAAAATCAACGATTCTTTTTTACCTTTTTGTTTTTATATTAATCTAATAAAGATTGATATTCCACTTAATTCTTCAAGTATGATATAACTAGTTATTGTATTAGATTTGAGGAGGCTGCGAACTATACATTAGATTGTTTGAGATTAAAATAAGACATTCCACACACACACACATGCCTGCGCGTAGGAGAAAAAGTTTATATCATAAGACATTCCACACACACACACACATGCCTGCGCATAAGACATTCCACACAGACACACACATGCTCCCTCCCCCCCAGAACAATAAATAAAATAAAATGTACATGGACCATTTTTACCCTTCCTTTTTTCATAAATATATATACATGAAAATATGTATTTCTATTAGATGAGTTAACAAACATTGATTTTATTTAAAGTTTTGGGTATGATATAAGTAAATTTATAAGAATTTTTTGATATTTTTATATAAATCCCCCAATGATCAAAAGTAGTAAGGTTGTATTTGCAAAAATAGGAAGAAATGAGATTCTTAGAAGTAGATTTTCTTTTCTGAAAAATGATAAAAGCGGTTAATGTAGGTTTTGTAGCTTAGAAGGTATAATATGATTGCATGATGTTTATATTTATTAATGATTTATTTAGAAAAATAAATCTGTAAATAGACTAAAATTAGGAGGTACTTCATGGTGGATCTGTAAAGGTGGAAGGCTGAAATATTTTTTTGATAGAAGTATCTATTTTTAATATAAATTCTATTTTTAAAATAAAATTTATAATTAAACGACCTCTTGCCCTTTCTCGTGAAGAAGGTGAGATTTAGCACTTTCATTTGATATGAATCTATGACTTTGCTTTCTTTTTTCCCACTTGAGGCAATATGGTGTCATTGCTGAAGGTGATTGTATTTTCCATGGACTATAAATGGAGAGGTGAAGGTTTTGAATTAATTTTTGGGAATGATGAGTGATAAATTGCAATGTGTATGGCTCATACTTATGATTTTGGAGAAAAAATTCTCCAACCAATTGGCCACGAATTTTTTCACAAGGGTTTGAATTGCTTAAAAATAAAATTCAATCATGTGAGCAGCTTCTCTTGTTGTTTCAGTAGGTTTCCAGTAACATGTTAGAGCTTTATGTTCAGGCAAGAAATTTTACTTAATAGCTATTGTGAGATATGATTAAATTAATTTTAGCCACAGAAGTTGTTGAAAGAAATCGACAACTTATGAGTGAAGTTTGCATAAGTGCAACTGGCAAGGAACCATGCTTATTTTCTCAATTTGCGAACTTATTTCATTTTTAAAATTGCGCATCTGCAATATGATTTATTTTTAAGAATTCATTTTCTTGTCTTTTTAAAGGGTTTTGCAATTCCTTTCGGAAAGAAACTTGAATGCCCACCCGGTGTTTAGAAATAAAATGTTGGCTATTTTTTCATCTTCTGCTTTTCATTTTAATTTGTCCTCTTTGTCTCAGGCGATCATCTTCTTTTATTTTATTTGATTTAGTTTCTATTTTATTAATTTACATTACTTCTGCTTCTTAATTTGCAGATTCAACTGATATACTGTTACCAGGATCAAAAGATTGTGATCCTTCTGAATTTCAAGTTACAGGAGGGTTCAGGAGCCTGATCCAGGAGGATGTTCCTCTTTCTGGATTTTTGTCCCAGCTACAAGGGCAGCCTAAAGACACTTCTTCTGAGGCTGGTGTTTCTAAGTGGCGCATGAAGGGTAAACGAAACATTCGAAATGTAGGAAAGAGGCTCATGGATGCAGGCGACATAAAATCATGCTGCGCTGATTTAGATAAATGCAGCAGGTCCATCAGCTCAACATGTGAGAGCAAAGATAGTCTGAAGTTTGGCAGTGCAGAACCATCCAACCAAAGGATTGAAGGCCGGGGCTTTTATCCCATAAAGGAGGAGTTTGAAAATCCTCATTATGAGAATGATTTGGTTGATAAGGATTTGGATCAGAACGAGATGAGTGTATATGGTAATATGAGAATTCCTATACAATCTATTAGGAGCCACTGCAGCCTCAATGATTCTGATGAGGATTCCCATGGTTTAAACCCATCTATCTGGGAGCCATCTAATTTGACTTGTAATCCACTGTGGGAAGATTCAGTTGATCTATTTGACCAGGCTTATGTCACTCATCCTGAAAATGAAATGGAGCCTCTGTTAATAGACGTGGATTTGAAGGTTCAAACTAGCTATCAAGGTGAGCATGTTCCTCTGGTTTCACTAATGAGCAGACTAAATGGAAAGGCAATAATAGGTCATCCCATTCAGATTGAAATCCTGGAAGATGGCTCCGCCAGCCACCTTGCCTCTACACACGATGCTATTATGGACGAAAGCGCTGCTCCTCAAGCTATGTGGCGGACTGCCAGAAGAACTGCAATGCAGAGAGTTCCTCGTTCGATTCCTTTAACGGCTGCATTGGAGGAAGAGGATGCTGACATGTTCCAACATTCAGGACGTGAAAGCAAACTCCCATTACACAAGGAGGCATACTATCACTACTTGAAGCACCAGGTGAGACCGGCTAAGAAGAGAGTTTCCCTTCTTCACCAGTCAGCTTTAAGGAAGTTCCAGAAGAAGAATGCAAAGAGATTAAGCTTATCCAGTAAGAAAACAAGAACACTATCTTCCCTGGCATCTGATGAGAAGCTGAGCGGTGAGTGTGATGGACATAAACTTGATGGTTTGATTAAAACGGAGGACTCCGTACCGCTCGTGACATGTGTGCCTGTAAAAGTTGTATTCAGTAGGATTCTGGAAGCAGTTGGTAGATCACCGTCATCGGAGGCTCACTGTGTAATAATGAGCAGTCCAGGCTGAACTCCCTAGAATTGTTTTATATGTCTAATTTATTTGCTTCATAGGTGTGACCAGGTTTTGGTCCTCATGCTTCATGTGCTCTGCTGGATGGAGCTAAGCTTTTTTTAATGGCGCAGAAGAATTTTCATCTTCTAGCTGATGGAGGAAGTGCCTTCTCAGAATGACGATTAACATATTCTGTTAATACCAATTGAGTGAGTTCACTAAGCTTAAATATTCTCCATTGTTGAATGTGAATCCTTTGTTTTATTCAAAGAGAGTAGGGGCTTGTTTTTGTTGAGCTTTTAGCTTATAAGACAGTAAAATGGCCCATTTCTGACGTGTTGTGTTGCTGAGATATGGTGCTTCTGCTGTCACAAGAGATATTTATCATTCAGCTCTCGGTGGGCTGACTTCTGTAAAGTACTGACTAATAGTTTTACCATTTAGCTTGGTTCAACTGTTCAACATAATATACCGATGAGTTTCTCGGGCATGTAAAAGAGCTGTATGTGAGGTAACAAACATATACAGAAGTTAATTATTTATCTATTTATTTTTAACATTAGTTGTAATTGTGCATTTCAGCATTATGTGAGTGTTAGATATTTACCTTAGTCTAGCTTTGTTAGCTTTATCATCCAAGGATGTTTTCAATTTTGTTGTTTTTTTTTACCTTAGTGATTGTATAAAAACTAATTTTTAAGAAGGATGAAAATGTTATTTTGCATAATTGCTTAATAATTTAAAAAAGTTCAAAGTGTAAATTTGCACATTTAAATGGTATATGAATCATAAAAAAGTAAGTTCAGTTTCACAGATTTAGATGAGATATTTATCAAGACTTTATTTTCTGGGATTTCTGAGGAATTAGGGTAACAAAAGAATCCTTATTAACCAAATGCGCTGGAGAGAAAAATGAATAAAAATAATAGAAGAAATACATTGCAAAGTACTATTCTATCTTTCGCCATTAAATTTAAATTTCATTAATCTTTATTTCCTTAGCAATACAATATTTGACTAGTAGAATTTTAACGACAAATCTGAATGAGTATTTTTTTCACCTTTTTATTTAATCTAGTAAAACCTAAAATGAATTTAATAGTCAAAGTAAAAAAAGAAAAGTGAAGGTAGAAATAAAAAATTGTAAATCTTGCAATTGAAATGATTAGTTTTTTTTAGTGCTTAGAGATAAGATAAAACTATTTGTTTTTAGCCAAGAGATTGTAAGTTTGAATTACGCTATTATGTCTATAGAATATGACTAAAGAGTGCAAATTTATCACAAGTAATGTTGATATGATGAAAATGATTAAATATTTTAACAGAAAAATGTAGCAAGGTGGTGATTATAATACAGGATGATAAATGAGATGTGTTGTGTTTACAAAATATTGAGAATTGTAGTCATATGTTGAGTTGCATTATTTATGTTCCTATGATGATACTCGGTGCAATTAAGGATGGATTTTTATTTTGTCAAAGTGGGGATGATGGAAAATTATCAGTTGACTCACATTTACTTGTCTCAGGATTTCAAGTCAATGATTTCAAGTCAATCCTTCACATTGACGCCATTTCAAACAATTTTATAATGAAGATTAAGACATGGATAGAACTCAAGTTATAACAACATATGCATATTGATGATGTCCATGGATAAAATTAAGCATCATGTGCAATTATCTTTGAGGGGCAAAAAATGCTATGCATTTATGCTAGGATATTAATAAGAGTAGAAACAAATATGTTACACATAGTTAGGTATCATCAAAGACAACATACTGTGAATAAAAATTTTGACATTCATTCAAAACATATCAATAACAAAATGAAGATCACTTAAAGAATTATCTTTAATATATGAAGTTATGACAATAACAAAAAGATGGGCTTGACATTTTGTCCACATGGCCCTTTCAGGCCGAGCCACACATGTTCGATAGTAGCAATGACAATGGAAGCAAGGTTGTAAGGTGAAGCGAATCCGGAAAGATTGACTCAGTTTGGATTGTTCTCTGCAAATCAGAAACATGAAGTTGGAATCACCGGTAATCACGTATCAGCATGCCACAATGAATATGTACCCACACGGCTCGTCACATCCTGGAAATAGGTTTCACCTGAAATTTGAAATGAAAAATGCTAGAAAAGAGGGTGTTGCGAGCAACATTTCACAAACAAAGCCCTTCTACTCTCAGCCCTCTTCTCTAAATTAGGCTAGGCTGTTATACTATTTAGATTCAGAGAGATTTGCTATTTAGATTCAGAGAGATTTGTTGCTCTTGACTATCCTCGCTTGTTTTTTCTGCTAATAGGTTAGATTCTCGGTTGAACTTTAGGAAACTCCCAAAAATGGAATTTGTCAAACGTGTCAGGAACTGACTCTCGCTAACCACATGCTTAATTTACTGTGATATGAGTCAAGCACCTAAAAAGACTTGGGCATATTGTATAAAAAATAATCTTAATTTCTAAGAATTAAATGAAAATATGACACTCAATAGGACCCAATAGAGAAAAAGGATTCATGTAACCAACCCCACTGTGGTATAATGGCTTGTTGTTGTTATTGTTATTGTTGTCGATGATGACTCTTGCACCTCACTCTATCACCTAGCTTTAGTGGGCCTTCAACACAGAAAGACAGTTTTTTCACCCCCTGTATATAGGCTTTTTCAGGTTTGAAATACTCTGCCTCTGATACTACACTAACGGCTTAACTCATTGCTTCTATTGTCTCGCTATACCTAAGCCGGGGAACATGGCATCGGCCTGATGACAACTATCCGAAGATATTTGTCTGAACAAGTACTTGTGCGAAGCTTATCAGCTCAGAACCAACGCCTTCTCAAACTATGACAGCCTTTTCCAATGTGGTAAGATTTCCACCTTTCTGTGATAGGAATGAATATGAACAAATAAGCTTTAGCTAATGTAATAAAGGCACTAATTGCTATTACATTAAAGACTAATTATTTTCATTATTCCAAAAAGTTCTGTAAGAGATATGTAAGGAATGAAAGAATTCCACCCACCTACGAAATGTTACAAGTAATGAAGAACGGAACCAAGGCTTTGAATATAAGGTGCGAGTGTTGTTGATTTGTTGCGTCACAAGGGCAAGATGAAAGATGGGGGGCTCCATTCCATTCAAAGTAAGCATCTGGATAATCATGCATGGAAATGAGGGTCGGATTAACCTCAAAAGGAATCTAAAAATGGATTTGACCTAAACTTTCAAGGTATGTCCGACCAAATATTTTATCAACCCAATAGTGAAATCTTGCAAATAAAGCAAAAAATAGCTCCCTTGGAAAGTAAATAATGGAAATGTGCAACCACATCTTAACTAAAGCCCTCTACTGGTCTACTTGAGGAAATCATGCTAAAATAGATATGGCGCTATCTACTCCAACCAGCTCGAAAGTAGGAGGAACATAAGGGGAAATATTTTATCTTGTAGTTCGCAACGGAGCCACTCCAGCTAGAAAAGCAGACATTTGGAGTGCATTTTCAAAAAGAGAGATCTTTTTTAGATAAGTATAATGTAACAATCTTGAGAGCTTATGAATAGAAATAAAAGTTATTGTATTGCATACACATATAAGGTAATTATTATTTCTCTCGAGAGATGCTTTTCTTAGCGTCAAATGGATTCCTAACTGGTCCTAGGTATCTTATCGTAATTTTTGCTTGTCATCTAAATTCAAACTATTAGAGAGTATTATTTTATGCAATTTCTTTAGATGATAATTCTAGCTTTTTTTTATTTTTACTTGCAGAAAAAGGTCCAATCTAATTAAAAAAACATGGTAATGATTTCACTAAATTTGATCATCTGATGATTTGGTTAGGAGAGTTGATGTTTTAGATTCGACTTCTGTTAAGAAAGGCAAAGGTGGACCTAAAAAGACTCGGGCATATTGTATAAAAAATGATCTTAATCTATTAGAATTAAGTGAAAAATATGACATTCAATAGGACACAATGGAGAAAAAAAATTCATGTAGCCGACCCCAATTAGTGGGATAAAGGCTTAATATTGTTGTTGTTGCTGTTGTAATTGTGATACATATCATTTTCCTTATTGGATGTGGAGAAAGGCTTAGGTAGGGTCATTAAGAATATATTTTTAAATGCAGAACGTATGGTTTGCATTTGCCATTTATGAAAAAAATATGAAGATGTGCTTCCATTGTAATAATGGTCAAAAGATTCGAAGCTTAGTTTGAACATCTGCTAATGCATATACTAAATATGAATTTGATGCCAAATTGTAGAATTATTTCATACAGTACTGAAAGTTCATTCAATCTTACACTCCTTATTCAAGTGATTAAAAAAGGATTGATGAACTCACATAGTACAAATAATCTATTTGAGTTATTTAATGTTTGAATTGGAGAGGCAAGAAGAAAATCTATTATCGACATAATTGACATGATCAGAGGCATGGTCAAGAAGCAATGGCACAACTCGTCAAGTTAGGGAGGGCAGTTAGTATCCCCCATATTGAAGAGTATGTTGGAGAGATATATTAGGGAGATGACTTTGAGGAAAGAATGATTCACCATCATATAATCAACCATCATCCAGGGTGGAGATTGAAGATTTAAGTACATATCAATAATAACGGATGTGTTTGTTAGATTTGTAGATTTGCAAATAATTGGACTAGTTTGCCTCCATGCATCTGCATTAATTTGAAAACAATGAGCCCCATGACACTTATTTATATGAGAATCATTATGTTATTAAGTAATTTTCTCTTAAGCTTTGTGCTTAATAACTTGATTTTTGTACTTCATTATTGGTATAGTATCATCATTGTTTTCTACTTCTTGCTATCAATTTTAAATCTACAATGGCCTACAAATGTTCAATATCTACTCTTCATGGGAAGAACTAATGGAATGTGGTTAATGATGGTGTTGAGACTGGAGTTCTTAACATTCTTATGCCTAGAGGTAGACCTTGGATGAGAAAACTAAAAAATTTTCTAGAAATCAAGAATTAAAAAAAAAAGCATTAAGTGTTCATAAATATATACATTGCGATTTTCACGGTCATCATAGAAGCACTTGCACGAAGCTACTCGGTCAATCGTGCTAAAAAACGCTTGATATTGACATCACAATATTCTACTCCATTTAACCTAATGTTAAATGTGTGCTGCTTGGATTTATTTCATATTATGAAGATTTTGATAACCTGCTCTTCATTCATTTGCTGCTATATAGACAGCAAGCAAGTGCAACTTCATAAAAATGGCCGATATTTCATTTTTGGTTGTTACTGCATCATCAAGCCCAGCTACTAAAAAACACCATGCTTACTGCAGCTTATTTGGTTTGAATTAATGCACTGCTATCGTAGACCACTTCTCATGAGAAAATCACTTATTGCACTGTAACAGATAATGAAAAGATTCAGTCTGTAAATAAAACCTTCAGCAAATTTCTTAGTTCTGATTGTAAAGCATGAAATCTGAAGGCCCGTGATTGGTTAAAATCAAAGAATTTGTTGAATGTTTTGAGTGAGAACTGAGAAGGCCCTA